CGGATACCCAAAACTCTGCCCCTAACCTCAGCATTGCTCATCCGGCTACCCCATCAGATTCGTGCAATGCTGCGTAGACAGTGGTATTGAAACACCGACAGTCTATCTTTATCCTGTTTTCTTAATGGCCGAGTTTCTGCACCGTATAGCAGAACCAGCGGAACTGCCGCGGCATACACTCGACTCTTAACAGACACCCGGATGTCGCGACGGCACCACAGATGTCTCAAGTTGGCCAATGTCAACCGAGCCTTGTGTATGCGAGCTGATACTTCATCCGTGATACGTCCACTGGGTGAAACGTAGCTGCACAAATAACAGAACGGATCCAAAAGCTCGACAAACAACTCATTCGAATTCGGTTTTTGATTACCATCGAGATCATTAAGTGGTACAGGAAACATATGTGACATAATGAATGTTTATAATTCGCATGATGTAACTGGCGACGTTCGAAAGAAATTTCGTTTCGATATACCTGCCCCAGTCCCTTTTTGAAAACGTTAGTCGGGGTTATGAAGCAGATAAGCCTTTTAACTCCAGCCTCATACAAACGACAACTATTAACCGTACTGTGCCACCAAAAACCTGACTGTCAAACCTCCATCATGACTGCTTACCTTGTCCAGTTCAAGCAAATTTGTGTAGGCTGCACGCAGTTTTTCGCGCATTCGTTCGGTCTCCGCACGGCGTTTCAGACAGAACACGAGAACGATGGTGGCCAGGATGACCAGAAGCAGCACGGACACGGCGACCGCGATCAGAATACGATCACGTGTCTCACGTGCATTGCGACCAGACAGTTTGGCATATTGTTCCGCGGTCAGACACATTCCATGCAATACGTGTGATCGATCTTCCGGACAAGAGGCGTTGCAAATAAACTACACCCGAGGATGCGAGGGGAACGGGGAACGTGACAAGGTGAGAATCCAAGTTTAAATACAAACAACACTAACAAGTACACGTTGACTTTCGTATTTCACTCGTACAAAAGCATACACAAATTGTATTGTATTGTAATAACTTCTGTTGGAATAAAGCCTACATTTTAGTTCAAAATATACAGTTTGGAGTGGGGGAGAAAATAAAAGATAATAAACATATAAAGAGGTTTCGATCCCAAAACTGTTAAAAAAAGTCTGTGAAAACCTGTTTTTTGTTAACCCGAATACGTGTTAATGGGTGTAGTTTAGAGTTACGATAAATGTTTTTTTTTCGAGATGGAACTCAACGATATTGGGATCCAGTTGAACGATGGGAGCACCAGGAAGTTAGATCTACGTGTAGGATATACCCCATGATCGCCAAATGTTGTGTCACAGTATAGTGCTTGTGTGTGTGTATAAGTGTGCGAATCATTTGGTGAAAGCGAGTGTATTACCTGGACGAGAATACGCAAAGCTTGGACTTGATGAGTTTGCATGGACCGTACTATAGCAATTGTTCAATTTCACTCACGAACCTGTGTGCGCTCAAGCCAGTGACCATGGACTCCGGATATGACCAGTTCCGGGCTCAAAAGTCAACATTCGAGTCTGCGCTGGGATGTGTGCAAGTAGTTCACACTGCTGTTGTGTGCTGAAACGGATGAAACATCCGTACAGTGTTCTCTGTGTTGATCAGCGAACATTTCTATTGCACACACACACACAAACACACATGTTGTACAGCATACAAATGCCCCCTCTCCGCCGAGGGGAGAGGTGATTAAAAAGTGAGAAAGGGCAACAAAAATCAATACCCAAATTAAGTTAATTATAAAGCGGGGCGGGGGGGGGATCCGAAATCGAGCAGGGGTTCACACTACGTCGGGCCTACTACGAGGAGGAGG